TATAGTAATTTATATATAGAACCGTGTCACGTTTCACTATGATCATTCTTCAGTTGACTGGAGAATCGTCAATTAAAGAAATTTATAAAGTTAGCAAAAAGTTTTTCAAAGATATCTTGACATCTACCAAGCTGATTTGGATGATCTAACCACTGTTAGATTCATCTTAATGAGCTCTTCAACTTTACTTAAAGGCTCAAAGGTAATTAACTTAGTATGAAAAAAAGTTTTCTTTGAAGAATCACTATTTTTCTTAAGAAATTTTTCAGATTTCTGTTTATAGTAATTTATATATAAAACCGCATCACATTACACTATGATCATTCTTCTGTTCACTGGAGAATCATCAATTAAATAAACTAAAAAAAAAAATAAATTTATTTTTTTTTTTTAGTGATTCTGTTTTTATTATATATTTCTATTTTATTTTTTTTATAAACTAGCCTCTTTGGGACTAAGGCTTTATTCAAGTATTGTTAAGTAAAGGGCTTGCAGTTTATTAACTTTAAAGAAACTTTTTATATTAGAAAGTATATTTAGTTACACATATACTTTTAGTGTTTAATTTAAGTAGTATACCTATAACTTTTATATTATAGATTCTATATTATATATTATACCTATAATCCAACTATGAGTATTACTTATTTAACTCTTTATAATACAACTTTACTTGTATTATTAATTGTCCGAAGGACATTACGGTAGAGGCATAGTGACCTGTTTGTGTGTGTGTCCGCAAATTAAGAGTTTTGATTGGTTGATCTGTTAAAAACAAACATTTGCTCCGAAAATACCCAGATCCGTAATCAATTATAAAAAAGCAATTTTAAGTTCTTCGGTCCTTAAATAGTTTCCATTTACCTAGTATATTTCTGCTATATTTGTTAGTTGAGAAGTTTTAAATTCTTAATCTATTTCCTATAGAACTACTTTATCTTTGAGACATCATTGCTAGAGCTTTTTACAGTATATCTACAATCTAGCTAATTTAGTTTTTCAGTAACTTATACTGAGATTAAAGACAAGAACTTATAAGCTAAAACTACTACTATTATCTATTTTTTGCTTTTGCAGAGTTTATCTAAACTTCAGTATCTATTTTATAGATTGTTAACTGTACTTCAATTATCTCAAACTTTCAATTTAGATAGCCTGAAAAGGTGATCCCTTTCTCTAGTAGTCTATTGATTTGATTAATATTAATGTTTTGCTAAATACCTCAGTTTTGTTTAATTTTTCATTTCTTTTGATGAAAATTCTTTATATTATCATTAAAAATTTGTATTACTTTTCTACTCAGGTCTTACCAAGCTAACTTTTGTATTCCAATCTGTTAGTTTTACTTGACAGCTTCATTTAGATTTTGTATACAGTAATTCATTTGTTATACTAATATTTTATTACTTCTTATTACAAACTGATGTAACTCTATTACAGATGCTGACCCAATAGAATACAGTTTTTTAAATATATTCTATAAATTTAAATTTTATTACTAATAAGATTTAAACTCTTAATTTGCTGCCTAGGAGTATAACAACTTATTAACTTTACTAAGTCACTACATTTTATTATATATTTTAAATTTTTTTTGATATTAAAATGACTTTTTAGTTATATTTCTTTTTTCAATTATAGTTCAACTTTTATAGCATGATATACTTATATTATATACATATTTGAAAAGTACAACTAGCCACATATACAACTTTAATTGTCTATTTAAATAGTCTGCTTATTATTAAGTTTTATATTAGAGTAAAGTTATTTGTCACATATGTGAAATTCGCTTATATAGCACTAATAGCTTATATATCATTAATAAATATCACATATATATTTAATAAATTTATATATCATTATTATATATCACACTAATAAAAAATATTCCAGTTAGTAAGTTTTGCAAATACCAAATACAGTACTATTAAACACAATACATAAACTCTATATTTTAATAGTACCGTGCTTAGCATTTGCAGAACCTTATTAAAGATTAAAGCGTATAAATGCTAATTAATTAGGCAATTAAAAAATCTAGATAGTCTCGATATAGTGAACTAATTTTAATGCTAATCTATATAAAATTCTCTTGGTATAAATAACACAAAGGAAAAACCAAACTTTGACCATATAAATTATATAATCAAAGCTTGATTTACCCTTGACATCAATATCATAAACCTACAAATAAAACTCTCGATACAAACTACTTCACTATAACGGTAGTTGAATAGTCAATAGTCAATTTGGCATTAAAATAACCATGTATTAAAAATTAGTTGATAATATAAAATCACAGATAAAAGAGCACAATAAATCAAATCGCAAATACTAACCACTAAGCTATACAAATCAATGCTTACTAATATTCTCTTTAATGATCAGCTTCGTTGGTCCGTTGCAATCACTACGTTACGGCTGTCACCTCCGCTTCGCTCAATTTAACCAAAGCATACTGGCTGAAATTACTATCAATAAAAATCAAACCCTAGCCTTAACTTAATTAAATAATCATGTATTAAAGATTAGTTGATAAGATAATATAAAATCAACAATAAAACATCACAATAAATCAAATCACAAATACTAATCACTAAACTATACAAATCAATGCTTTACTAATATTCCCTTTAATGACCAGCTTTGCTGGTCCGTTGCAATCGCTACACTATAGCTGTCGCCTCTGCTTCGCTCAATTTAACTAAGGCATGCTGGCTGGAATTACTATCAATAAAAATCAAACTCTAGCCCTAATTTAATTGAATAATCATGTATTAAAAATTAGTTGATAATATAATACAGTATAAAATCAACAATAAAACAGCACAATAAATTAAATTGCAACAACTAACAACTAAACTATACAAGTAAATACTTTACTAATTTTCCCTTTAATGACCAGCTTCGCTGGTCCGTTGCAATCGCTACGCTATGGCTGTCGCTTCTGCTTCGCTCAATTTAACTAAAGCATGCTAGCTGGAATTACTATCAATAAAATCAAACCTGAACCCTAATTTAATTGATTTCTATTAATAATAACAACTTTAGTTTCTTTAATTATACAGTCAATAACATTAAATTATCTGATTAATCAATTAAATATGCATATTAAAATTAAACATCAAATAGTACAATATTTTCATACTAATTATTTGTTGAGACAATTTCGCTTGTCATGCTCTTTACTTTTACAGACACTACAATGACGGGAAGTATTATTACTTGTTGATCTGATTTTTTTATTTTTTTCAATTGCTGATTTAATTCGTCATTTTTTAGATCGCCCTTTTCCAACATGCTGAAGTGGATTTTGAACATCATAATATGTAATTCCAGAAGCCGGAGTGTCTTCTGAAATTTGATTCTCTTCATATTGATCATCGTCCATAACCTCTTCATACTCTAAAACTTTATCAACTTCTATAATTTGTTTACATTCCATATCTTGTCTATATTCTGTGGCTTGATCATGTTTGGTATTTCATAACATATTTATTTCTTTATTGCATTGTATCTTTTCATGTTCACAAATCCATTCTTTAAACGTTTTCATCAAAATATTAGAATCTCTAGAATCATCATAATCAACCAATTCTACGCATTTACATGCAAGTCCAAGCAATGTCTCTTTGATAGATTGCTTTCGACCAATTACTTTCGCAGCTATTTGTTTGGGTGTTTCAATAGATATAGCATTCCATGACTCAGCAACAGTTGAAAACAAAGGTATGCTTGATGTATCTAATGTTGAATCTTTATGTACTTGTAACTTTCCTTTGACAAATGGTTTATCAATAACTGATATATTCATCATTTCATCTTTATACCAACGTTTTGGGATAAGAGAAATATGGAAGAGACCTTTTTCAGATTGTAAAAGAATGTAAAACCAATGACAGCAAACAATATCACTGCTAAATAACAAAATACAGGTACAGAAATGAAAGCCATTTTTTAGTAAAACTACATGCTGTCCGATACTTGACGTATTCTCAATTGACCAAACCTCCCAAACTTCAGCTATTAAAGAATGATCAACCTCCTCAAGAAGCTTATCAAAGCGTATTTGACGAAAGTCATATTCGAGTTCAATTGGTCTACTCTCTACTGTATCCAATGTCAAATTAAATAAATCATTAAAATCAACCTTTTGACCATTATACATAACTGTCTCATTCATTTGATCAACATGAAATTCTAAAATTTTAGGTGTAACGTATTTTTGTAAAATACTGTATACATTTGGAAAAAGCCTTCTACAAATGTTTGATGTTTTATATGATAATGTTTTTTCACGCCAGGCTGAAAATCGACTAGTAAATTGCTCTTCAGCAACACGCATTTCAATTCGTTTAAACAGAATGTATAATTGAGTTTTTTCATTTACAGTTCATTTAATCACACTGTTTATTGACTCAGACTGCTAGGTAGATGTTATTCCTGCTGTAAAAATCTGTCTAGTAAATGCTTTTGCCCAGGTTGTTTTGCGAGGATTAAGTTGTTTAAGCAAATATTCGGTTGACTCTGGAAAGTCAATCATTAGCTGCTTCCAATATCTTTCAAATGCTTCTTTGCACAAAACATTTCAAGCACGATAAAACGCTTTAAGAAAATCAGAATAACGATCACCAAGTGTCTTAGACAATTGTTTCTCAATATTACGCCCAATGTGCCAAACGCAATAGAGAAGAAAAGTATTTGGGTATATCTTAGGGACAACGCTTTCAAGATCCAGATCGGCATCAATAATAAAAGCACCAGGATGAACTCCTGTAGCATCGATCGTTTGTTGTAATAACCATCTGTAACTTTTGCTTGTTTCATCAGGTAATATGGCTTGTGCCACAATCCTTGATTTGAAATTGTTATCAACAATAGTAAAAATGCTTAATGGTAAGTTATAGGCATTGGTTGATGCTGTATTATCATTTAAAATGATATCTGTATAGTTTTGCCAAAGTTCTTGTTGTTCAGATAACATGTAAAATACACCCTGTAATCTATTTGTCTCAGAATCAATTAATGGTTGGACGTACCAATCAGGATTCTTAGTGCGTTCTTTTTCAAAGTGTTGAAGAAGCTTTGCTGTATCACCATCCTGCATTTCATGACTCTGGCGAACCTTATACACATAATTCTTTACATCATAATCTACAATCGTTGCTTCAGAAAACAACCTATGTAATAATCGAACCTGAGACGGAACATCGAGATCACAAAGCGTGTAGCTTTCAATAAGATCTTTCATTTCTGAAGTGAGCTTCCGATATCTAGTAGCAAAAATTGCATTTTCAGAAAGCAAAGTCGTGGTTATGTGTAAGTTCCATTGATGTTAATTTAATTATCATATTACAATCGGAACCCTTACTCTTGGATGCATTAATAAGAAAAGGGCAATTGATTTTCTTTGAACCCTTGTTTCTTTGCTTTTCAGATGGAGCAGTTTTGTGTAAAATGTATTTACCAGATCGTTTACAATCCCATATATGCTGACATGGATCACGACTATTGTTCACCCATTTTTTTCTAATAACAAAGTTGTTTTGCTTCGCATAACGTTCCAATACTTCTTGATATTCATCCCATGTCTTAAAAGTCTTTCCACTATACAGTTCAACATAAGGTGAAGGTAGGTATATTGGCTGACGACTATTTGTATTTTTTAAGTTGTTCACAGAATTATTGTTTATAGAATTGTCATCCTCAGAATTATCGTTTATAGAATTGTTGTCTTCAAAATTATTGTCCTTATAATTATCGTCCTCATAATTATCATCCTCATAATTATTGTCCTCATAATTATCGTCCTCATAATTATCGTCCTTATAATTATCATTCTCAGAATTATCATTCTCATAATTATCGTCCTCATAATTGTCCTCATAATTGTATCCTGGCTTGTCATTTTCATTAGATGAACTTTCATATACTGTTAAATCATAAGTATTCATTTCATCTTCATTTGGGTGACCACCTGGTAAAATATTTTCTAAACTTCTAAAGGATGTTCGTTTCATTATTTTAAAGAAAAAAAAAAAAAAACTCAAGAGAAAAAAAATAGCTTGTGCAAAATAACGTGATGTACTATTGTACGTGCTAATAGAGTAATGCTGTGAGAATATAAAAAATCTAACTTGTAAAAAAAAAAACTCAACAGAGAAAAAAAAAAAGGACAAGAGAAAAAAAAAGCTTGTACAATAACGTTGTACGTACTAACGAAAGTAAGAGAAGCGAAAAATGTTGAAATGCTGGAGGGATATAAAAATCCAACTTGCGAAAAAAAAAACTCTTTAACAGAGAAAAAAAAACTTAAGAAGAAAAAATAGACTGTGCAATAACGTGATATACTACTGTACGCAGTAACAAGAGAGAAAAGAGAAAGAATGTTGAAATGCTGGGGGATATGAAAAATCCAACTTGCGAAAAAAAAAAAGATGTACGATTTTAAAAAAGTGCATATACAATATAAAATACTCCTAAGCCTAATGACAACATTTACTTTAACACACTATTACTAACTAAAACTATTGCACTAACCAAATTTTTATTGGTAACGATAACAATCATGCATGTCACTTATATTGGTAACGATAACGATTATACAGATTATACAGGTCACTTGTTTAATCGCTATTTGTCACATTTGTAGTGATATATTTATATTTAGTAACTTATAGTATCACCTCTATATGTGATACTATCACATGAGTTGCAAATAACTTTATTATTATATTAAATGCTATTCCTATAATCTGACTAGAAAGTTATCTATTTAAATCCTTTGCAACTATATATATTGCACTTATAATCAAGTAAAAGTATTAATACTTACTTATTTTCAAATACTGATTTAAGACTACTTTATCCTTGAGATAAATTTGCTAGAACCTTTTATAATTACAATTTGGCTAATCTAAGTTTTAGTTGATATATATAGACCAAGTCCCACTACTTACACTCTAGTTTCTATAGAAGAGTATTCTTTAATTATTTTGTTTTTACTAGTTTTTTATAATATTTTAATCTTACTATAGTTTGATTACTACTACACAACCTACTTCTGCTCTTGTAGAGTTTATCTAAACTTCAGTACTTCTTTTCAAAATAATTTAGTATATTCTACTTTTGGTATCCTTATTCAGTTTTTTCAGATTACCAATCTAAATAGCCTGAAAGAAATATCAATCTTTTAATATCTATACTGCAGATTCTTTTCTTTTTGCATTTTAATAGCCTGATTAGTAGAGTATCTTTCTTCTAAATACCTAGTTTTTTTTTTTATAATTCGGCAATCCTGCCTCTGTTTATTTGAGATTAAGCTATTCAAGAATTATACATTTCTATAC